ATTTATTTATCTAATATACTTATATTCTCTTATTTTTATTTTTATTTTTAAATTAAAAAGACAAAAATATTTTCTTAAACAAATTTGATTCTTTTTTTTAATAAATTAATAATTAGATTTAAGTTTAGTTATTTTTTTTATTTAAAATTAACTTAGAATTTAAATTTCTTTTAATTAATTAATTTCCATACTATTTTGATTAAACTTAAAATCTTTTTTAAAAAACCCTAAAAATGCTTTCTAATTTAATTTTCTTTCTTAATTAATTTAGTTTTAAATTTCTTAATTTAATTAATTATTTTCTTTTAGATAATTAGGTTAAAACTCTTTTCTCAAAAACCAAACAAAATCCATTTCTTTTCCATTTATATCCTTCTATATTATATTCCTTTCAATTCTTGTACATTATTTTAATATGATTGTAATAGATAATTAGGTTTAATTTCTTGCAATTCCCATTTGTAAATTTGTATACCCTATCCCCAAATGATGTAATAGCGTAGTAAATTTACTTTCTGCAATTTATCGCTTTCATATAAATGCTAGTAATTAGAGTTTGTATGGGAAGATAAAAATCAATGCTTAGAGAATCCTAATTTAAGATAAACTATGCATGCAAATCAAACACAATGTTCACACATGCACCTCTAGGGTTAACTCCACTTGTTGCCTAAAAAATAGTCATGTTATGCATGTGGGATGTCTTAGAAAAAACAATCAAAAATACAAGATCATAGTCCCTCGATGACGCTACAAATGTTGCCTTTCAAATGATCTTAGTACCTCAAAGAGAAATGTTAAGATATCTCACAACATTGCTATTCATGACTATACGATGATCCATGCCCGTACCTTTTACATCCAAAGATAAGGCTTCTTACCAATCAATAGTAAGATAGCAATATCAAAGGAAAGGAGAGAAATGAACAAAAGATTTTTGAGTAGGTAGAAACGTTCTTAGTTGCTTGCTCACTTTAAAAATAAAACACACCAAACATTTTCAAAAAACAAAACATCTTTTCAAATACACCAACACTTTCCATGAAATATTTTCAAAAGTTCAACACTTTGTACACATTCTCTCCGAAACTAAAATCATTACAAAGTTCTTCTAAACGAATGCGCCTTTTCAAAATACTTTCAAAAACCACCACAAAGCACATTTTCAAACAAAGCAAGTGATCTAGCAAGCAACTAAGAGCCCATAGATAACTATGGATGAAAAGGATGCTAACACCTTCCCTTTTCATAATCTACCCCCTGAACTCAAGAAATAATCTCAAATGTCTTTCATGTTCTTTTCCACCTTTCCTTTTAGATAAAAGAAAAGTCGGTGGCGACTCTTGCTAACCCCAACAATTGCGATCAAACACAAAACATCCCAAGTCAGTTCTCTCACCATATTACACACATATAGGGTAACATCTCTTGTTGCCTTACGATATTTTGGTCATGTCCCTAGAAAGTGGGAATACTTTAGCAAAAGACCTCGAACAAATCATCATAAAGATCATAGTCCCTCGATGACCCTCCGAGTTGCCTATAAAGTGATCTAGTCCCTTCGATGATCCTACGAGCGAAATGATAATAGTTTCTTCGATACAATTGCTAAAATATCCTTACATGTTGTCTTCAATGATCATACAATGACCTTACGCCTGTCCCTTCACATCTAATAGATAGGATTACCTACCAACTAATGGTATGGACAATACTATCTCTAAAGGAGGAGGAAAATGATAAGAAAGACCTTATTAGTGGGTAAGACTCCTAGTTTCTTGCTCACAACATGTTCAAATATCACATTTTCAAAATAACAAATATTTACAAAAACACTTTGTATACATTCTTGAGGACTGGTACAAAAATTATTACAAAGTTAGTCTTACATTAGAATTTCAAAATATTTTCAAATAAATCACAAACACAAAACAAGTTTTCAAAAGTGAGTTAAGCAATTAAGAGCTCGTAGATAAATACGGATGAAAATGATACTAACACCTTCCCTTTTCACAACCTACCCCCCGAACTCAAAATCTATCAAAGGTATTTCCTGTTCTTTTCACCTTTCCTAAATATTAGATAAAAGAAAAGTCGGTGGATACTCTTGCTAACCGCAACATTTGCGATAAAACAAAAAAGTCAGTTCTCCCACTGTATGACACGTGCCATATAGTGCCATCCATTAGGATCTACAATGAGCATGTCTATAGTAGCTACAGTTATGCAGAATGTCGGCTACACAATAAATCATTATCAGTAACGGATATTCTGAAAACATTTCATATCATGACGGAAGACAAATAAAATAATATACGTTTTAGCCTCAGTTAATAGCGTTATTTCGTTGAGTGGGAGGTGGAGAGCTTTTGAAAGTAACTTATCAGTGGGGGAAAATTGAGAGGTTGAAGACTGATGTGAGTATGCATGTGTGTTATTGCTACCGCCACTTACTGATTTCCCTATTTGAAGGTCCTTAGGTAAACTGACGGCATAAGAAGCAAATACATGCAAAATTAGTTGAATGTTTAAAGACAAAGACAATAACATTGATCATTATTGAGGCAATAATATTTAAAGGCAAGGACCGTTGAAGAAAGTCAACATCTCCGGAATATCTTCATTGATGTGTAGTTTGGATACATTGTATTTATTGGTAACAACAAGAGAATATAATCCTACAAAGCAAAAACCTGGATAAATAACGTACAAACTTTAAACCAAATGAGATAGAGTTGCAGAGCATGTCAACCTGCTTCTTTCACTTTTGCAAACTTCAAGAGTATCACAGTAGGTGCAGATGAATCAAGTTGTTTCTGTTTGAACTGGAAAATTGTGTTGCGTAGGATTCCCACAACGTACATTGCAATGTGTTGTCCCTAAAAGTTTTGCGCAAACGTAATTAGTGTGTGGAAAAACGCAGAATCTTTATTAGTATAATAATGAGGTATCTCTATGATATTGAAACAAACTCCAAGTCTCTCAAGATGAAGTTGATCTGAGCCTTTCTGACGTCCATCTGTGACTGGGAGTATTCAACCTCGTCTGCGACTTCAATGATGTCTACATAAAAATACTATTAGTATTGTGAAATGAAGCATACACTCAAGTTAAAATAACAATAGTGGAAACAGATTATATATGACTCGTACGAGTTAGAAGTGACTTCTGTCATTTTTCTGAAATGATATCCGTAAAAGGGGTCAAGGTTGTCATCTTTTTCAGGAATCTCATGCTTTCCAATATCTGCGACAGCTGTGTCACCAGTGAATTTCAAAATAAGTTCGTGGCTTATAGGTTTGAATAGCAAGTCATTAAGGACCACTTCGAAGATTGACATGGTGTAGGTCGAGTTAACCAATAAAATAGAGTCAAAAACCTGCCTATACATACTTGAAACAACCACTTAAATATCATGACCCTGTAAGAAAATATCTTCCAAACTAAACATCATATGGAACACGGTATGAAGAAAGCAAAAAACAAACATTGAAACTCACATGTTTGTCTACTATCACCAACTCGAAATGCTTCTTGATAGTTGTCAGAATCGTCCATTTGTGCGATATTCGTACATCAAAACTTCCACAAATCTTTATGTTCATTGATGTCACATATATTGTCAAGAGATCTCTCCATTAGCAGAAATTTTGTTAGGATTCAGTTGAGTGAAGGTGAATAGTGAGATATCAACTATCAGATGGAGAAATGAGGATAGTAACAAAGAAATGAAATGAGATGAGAGTTTCAAAGAAAGAAAATGATAAAATTAGGTTGTGTTACCCATACTCTTCAGTCGATGGGACATTACGATTTCTCTGCCAAGTTTGCATATGAAGTCCATGTAAAAGTGGGGTAATGAAAAAGGGATACAAAAAAGACATTGTTTCGTATATAAGAGCTATCGTATCAAGGATAATGGTGTCTTTTCCAAAACAAGTTCTTATGTGGTAGATACAATCATAAAATGTTATCACTTGTTTAATCACTTATTTGGCTAGGAACCTAATTGTGCCAAATTTTACGTCTAAAACAATTTTCTCATTTTTATTTTTTTAGGCACCTAATTGTGTCGTACGTTTGTTAAGAATACGCTTGGCCAACCAGATTGTGGCAGAGATTGTCACAAAAGTTGTCATCATGTAGGTTAATGGGAACTCAAATTCATTTAACTCAGCAATCAAATTGTCATACACAACAGGTGACCGTGATTCGAGAAATTAGCTAGCTACCCCCAAAATTAAATATGACACCCTAATTTTTTTAATTCCAATTTTGCATCTAATGAGATAGAAAGAAATTTATGGACTAAATTTCCAATATATATAAGATTAAATTTTCAATAGTGTATTTGAAATTTTCGATAAACCAAAAATTTTAAATTTACATAACAATTTGAACTTTCAAATTTCAAAATTGAACTATCGAAAATTTCAAAATTTCCGGTATTCTGTAAAATCCCCAAATTTTTGAAATTTCCAGTACAAAATGAAAATGTTCACACCAGAAATTTCAAAAATTTCAATACGAAAATACCAGAATTTTTGAAAAATCCAGTACAAAATACCAGATATTTCGCAAATATATCGGAAATTTCTTACTGTCTCACTAAATGTCCAGTATCGCCATTTTGGGGGTTGGTCACGGAAATTTTGAATTTCTAAAAAATATTTGAATCTGAGTAATTTAATCTTTTCATACCATTTAGAGGTGTCATGTATAAGAGAGGATGCCATGTTAATTCCTCCCGTGATTCTTCCAAAAACAAATTTAAGAAGGAAACCAAAAGGTAAGGGAATTGAAGTTTTTTTCATGAAAGAAATATCTAAGAAGGCATTTGAAGCCTAGAACTGTATTAAAGAGTCTATAGCTACAGAGAAGTTGATAGTATAGTATAATCATTTGCAAATCACTAAAACTCAACACTATAGTTATAGAAGACCAAAATACTAGCAAGCACAACATAAGCTAAAGCTCTATTGTCCAGAAGAAGAACTTAATTACAAAGGAAAAGCATATCCACGCAGGTATCTGGAGTCCACACCTGAATCGCGGGCCAGTGCTATGCGCCCAGTTCGCGCCACCTGAAACAATGAAGAAACACCATTGAAGGGCAGGATAGGAAGTTAAGAGCAGTGGCAGGTGCAGCACCAAACTGTTGATCCAATCCATCACGGGTTTGAATGTTTAGACTCGCTAAGGATTTTTAATGTAAATAGTTGGTTCAAACACAATATAGCATGGATGGTGAAGCATAATTTTATGGACGGCATTCTTCTACAGTGAACAAACTAATCCAAAGTGTATCCTGATGACAAACTAAAATTTAAAGTAATGAAGACATTCTTAATTTAATTCAAAGTTTATCCTGATGACAAACTAAAATTTAAAAGCAGATGCAGCCTTACTTGTTATGGTGACAAATTCATTAGAGAAGCTTTAATTACAAATATTGTTTTCAGATGAATTTTACTGTTTCCTATAAAAACACGAGGAAAGAGATGATCATTTGGTAATAAAAAATGGCTCCCAAAGTAAAATTGCCCTTGTTCTCCCTTTCTTTTCTTTACTAAAAAAAAACTCCATCCAAACATACCCTAAGTAAAGCATCTTAGACAGAACTAACAAATACAAAAACGAAGCAATTGCATCCAGTGTGACACTGGAAATATATGGAATAATTTTTGTTTTTCAGGACATGGAAATAATCGCAACAAAATATTTATCAGATACGTGAGAAAAATTAATAAAACAGACCTCGCAAATGCCATATGGTTCTAACAATCTTTGCAATGCAACCATCTTGTCCAGATCTCCAGTAAGCTGTCACAGGAGCATGTTACTTAGTTCCAGAAACAATTTAAAAAAATTATTGGATCTGTGGATCCAAAGTCAGTACTTTGATAATTTCGTCTATATTTATTGTAGAAGTATGAAATGCTTCAATGCAAACAACTAACAAGAATTAAAAAAGGAAGTTGAAATCAAGTTCCCTATTCTTCTGATTATCCTAACCATATAAAGTAAAAAACACTTCTACCATGTAAAACGGATCCCTGATGCTGTAAATTCCTACCATGTAAACGGGTTGGACTCAAACACGTGACTACATACTGATATTGTATTTGTACCACAATTTCCCTAAACTAAACTGGTTTTGGGGCAACTTGTGCGTGTGTGAGTGAGGGCGTGCTCATGCTCGTGCGAGTGTGCTGTTGAAAAAGCTACATTGACTTTACCTCGAGGGTTATAGTATGATCAGACACATCAACAGCTCTAGCCCTGAAAATGCTGGCAATATCAAGAACATCACGTCGTGCGGCAGCATTTACAGCAATCTTTATTAGCATCAACTCTCTCTCAGCAAAAGGCAGGTGGGTTATATCTTGGACCTGGAAAAGTAGGTCAAGTGTTATTGCACTATATGCTTCAACGAATTTCTCAATGATAAAGTACAAAGCAAGACAAAAATGTATTCGTCGAGAAGATATTTTATAGCTTCTTGGGTTGATGTTCCTGGATAAGATTAATCATGACGGTCAGCGCACTAAAACACTAGTTAGTTTCATTAATAAAAGGAGGCAATATATGTTTTAAAATTTTCTTATTAGAAAGACCGCTCAAATATTGAACTGCGAGTCGCGACTCATCAATTTTGTCACTATGGGTCGCCAAATCCTAATAAAGGCTTCCAACACAAATGTCCTGTTGTGGTCAGGTGGATTGATAAGATCAATTCAGCATATAGTGAAACAGAAGCAGGTAAACAGAGAATCTAAGTAGAAGAAATGAATATTATTTAGTACTAGAGTTCAAATGGGATCTAGCAAGTACAATGATGCATGAAAAAGAAAATGAAAAGCTGAAAAAGAGGCGCTTCGAGAAGCCTAACTCTCCTATGGGATTTCTCCACTCAATTCATGCATACTGACAATAGATCCTTCCCCAATCATTTATTCACTCAATCCTATATTCTCTCACCATTCAACTGCTGCCACCTGGCCAAGCCATGTGCAGCCTCTAAGGGTCCGTTTGGGAGTTGATTTTTGGAGGGTTTTGGAGGGGAAGGCTTTGGAGGGTTACATCTATATCTTGAAATGTATTTGATATTTTTAAAAAGTTTAAAAAACGATATGATTTTATATGCTAATGTAGTGTATTGTTTTTTAAAATATTACACGCATTTCAAGATATAGACGCAGCCCTCCAAAGTCTTCCCCTCCAAAATCCTCCAAAAACCAACTCCCAAACGGACCCTAACAGAATTTGTTGACTTCATCCACTGCTAAGAAAGGGGTGTCCCCTCTTATTAACACAGGTGGTACCCTTCCATACAGAGCCTCAAAGGGAGTAGTCTTCAAAGAGGCATGGTAATTGGTGTTATACCAATATTCAGCCCAGGCCAACCATTTAGGCCATTGTTTAGGTTTCAGACCTGTTACACATCTCAAATAGGTTTCTAAACACCTATTTACCACTTCAGTCTGCCCATCTGATTTGGGGTGGTATGCACTGCTGTACTTCAACTAAGTGCCTGCCTGCTTAAACAACTCGGACCAGAAATTGCTTAGAAATACCTTGTCTCTGTCAGAAACAATGGAGCTGGCAAATCCATGTAGTCTAACCACTTCCTGAATGAACAATTCAGCAATTCCTTTAGCTATGTAGGGGTGACTGACTGGGAGAAAATGAGCATATTTTGTCAGCCTATCCACTATCACCGTCACTGTATCTAGTATCTACTCCTTGAACCTTGGGTAACCCTCCAATGAAATCCATGGATATATCATAAGTCTTCACCAGCTATCCTTTTATAAGTCCTCACCAGCTATCCTTTTATAAGTCCTCAAGTGTCCCGAGTGTCCTCCTACAGCTGTATCATGAAACTCATTTAGGATCCAAGCAATTCTGGAGGATTGCTTTGGAATCACTATTCTTCCTTCATGATACAATCATCCACCACTTCCTCAATCTTCTCTTGTTGGATTTCTATTTCCCCCTTTTCTTCTTCTTCATCACTGCTATTTTCACACGATTTTAAACTCATATGCTTGAATCTAGAAATGTGTTCTCTATTCCATTTGTCCCCACATTTGAAACACAATCTCTTCCTTATTGCTTCTTTCCTTCAGTTCTGCAGGGTTCAACCTTCTACCCTTAAATTTCTCATTTCCCCAGTTACTGGCATTTTCACCCTCCTTATAACCCCCAAAATCTCCATGATCCTTGATCCTCAAAGTTCCCCCTCTGTCCCTCCACGAACTTCCTTTTTTTATTTAGAACCTCGTTTTTTCCTCAATAAGTAAAGCTTTGTCCATGAGTTCTGCTAGACTCTGACTCTCATGGAGCGTTAGCTCAGCTTGAATTTCTTCCTTCAATCCATTCAGAAAAATGGAACCCAGCATGACTCTCCTCCCCCTTCTCAACGGAGCTACCACCATCTCAAACTTCTCCATGTACTCCACAACTGAACCTTTTTGTCTCAGACTCAACAAAGGTCTCATTGGGTTATGTAAGAGTCCCTGTTGAAACCTTTTCATAACAGCCACCTTAAATACCTCCCAAGTCCTCCGTGGTGTCTGTTCCTCCCACCACTGATACCAATTTAAAGCCTTATCTTCCATAGCCAACACCACCGCTTCCAACTTGTCTCGTACTCTCACCCCTCTCACCCCATTCAAGTGGAAATACCTCTAGACACGCACAAGCCAACCATACGCATATTCTCCTTTGAAAATTGGGATTTCCAACCTTCGCCTGCTTACAAAAAATCGGGATCCGCTTCCACGAGCATGACGGCAACGTCGTGGTCGTGATTCTCGCGAAATCGTACTACTGTCACTCCCTTCATCCTTCCCGTCGTCCCCGTACCCTCGCACCCGCGATCGTTCATTCCGCACTTGATTCTGAGCAGGTTGCGAAATATGTCCATGGGCGTCAACAAAGAGAAAAGTCACAATCAATGGAGATTATAAGGATTAGCCATTCCACACTCAAATTCTAAACCCAATTCACCTAAATGAATCCTCACTGTCACTGAGAATTAACTACTGACTTTACAATATAATAGGATCATGCCCCATGAAATGGCAGAACAGGGACCAGTCAATTCGTCATCCTGTTTCCCCATAAATATCCTTGAAAAAGCTTAATTGGTTCATATTTGTAGACTTCTCTTATTGATTCACTTGTGGCCAGGATGATTCCCATATGTTCATTTTTGTGCCTACCATGACAATGGTGGAGATCGGCACTTAAAATGCTAGAGAACTCTGCCACCAGTAATACTAGAAAGCATAAAAACTAATAGCAACAGTTTATTTCTTGGGCATGATGCATTTATTTTGGTAGAGATATTGAACCTTATGCAGTTCCACTAACTTATAGAGTTGCTGCACCAACTTGCTGATTGACTCATCTGTACCAGGAACCACAGTCGTAAGCCGAGAAATTCCTTCAATTTCTGAGTGTCCAACAGCTAAACTCTGAAAATAAAAGAGAGCTCATTCAAGCAACCGAAATATTGGAGAAATTAAAATGGTGAGACTTGTGTTTATACAATTTTACACAAACATCATGGTGAAAAACAGCAGTGAAGAAGCAAACCTGAATGTTATAGCCCCTTCTAGCAAAGACCCCTGTAACAACGCTCAGAACTCCGGGAGCATCGTTCACAAGCATGGATAAAGTGTGTGATCGTATTCCGCTAGTCTGAAGGCATTATTCCAACTATTAGAAAATTTCATGCAAATCAATGAAAACTATATGCTCATGTGCGGGCACCAACAGGATTTTTAGCTCTTGACAAGCACAAAACTTTTCTAATGAGCATTAAAACTTTACAAGTGTTATGTGAAAAGATTTGTGAAGTAATTTTCATAAAATATTCACACAAATTGGTCTCGATCCTTTTAGTATGTGATTTTCAGAAATGCAAAATCATGCTAACTCAACTTGAGTAAATTTAAATAAAAGAAAATAATCACAAAGATGTCATAAATTGTAGTGCTTCTCTAACAATAAGTAGAAATTGCACAAAGCAAAACCTTGCAAGTGAAATACAAGCTTCGGCAGTAAAAGACTTTTGACTTATTACCAGAAAAAACTTAGAGCTCTGTTGAACACGCTTTATTTATAGCATGCAGTGAGAACTTCCAAAATAATGTTTACTTCACATGACACAATTTCACAAAAGAAAATATTAATATATGCTGGCTTGAGCCAAAATTGACTGTTTGTAAACCCTCTGTCTGAGTAAAAGTGATGACCCAAACACACGTGAACCCTCCTCCTATGAGTAAAAATTGACATTGAGCCAAAGTCACTTTTAACCAATTTTCAAATGCTAACCGAAACAGGCACCTAGAAGAATAACCTTCCTAAGCAATGAGAAGTTCAACAAGAAAGGGAAAAGAAACAAAGAATGAGCTAGCATTTCTAAATCTCTCAGAAGAGCATCAGACACAGTTTTTATCTTATCCTCTCATAAGAATACAAATATATGGAACCTTGGTACCCACATGAGACATGTTCAACACGTCGTTAGCTAATTAATCTTATTTGAAGTATTTTTAATGGCTAGAAATAATGTGAAGTGATCTGAAACTGCAAACTTCACCTCAAAATGACCAACTACGAGCATAGTGCACAAGACTCCTGTCATGGTAAATAATACTGCTAACTATACAACTTGACAAATAATTTCAAATGCATGACCAACAAAATCAAATAGAAACTTCATTTGTATTTAATAAAACAACTCTACACTCTAAAAAGGGAGCATCAAGTAAAATAACACTAGCAAGAACCTGCAAATAAGGATAACAACGCATTACAAGAAAACATAAAAAGGGGACATTTAAGAACAACACAAGACTTTAAACCACTTACATCTTCATCATGAAGAAAACCCCATTGAGCGTCAAGTACTTGATTGACTGTAAAACTGTCTGAAGGCTCTATGGGATAAACATCTCCCTTCACACAAGCAAACATTTCAAAAGAAACAATAAGGTCAGAGACTAGATCGGAACATACTATTTGCTAATGACCCAATAAATCAAGTACATAAGGGACAGAACGTATTGAACATGTTGATAAGGAAATGCATTCCAGTCATTGTTAGCATCATTGAATTTGAAATAGTTAAAAAATTGTTTGTCTTCTAGTTGGTCATAGAAGTTTTATCACACTAAAAAATTATAAAAGTTGATGAGCAAACACAATAAAAATTCAACAAGAATATACTTTATCACTCGAGTGACCTCACTGAATTTCTACCAAGCCATGACAAGTGGCAAGAATCAAATAATTGCTTTGAAATCTGGTACTAAAGGGAAGCGGGGGACAAAGAATGAAAAGCAATATATGGATAAGGAACAAAATTCAAAACCACAGACAATCCACAGTCAATATGAGTGATCTAAAGGCCTCATATAGAAAAATAGTTGTGGGAGATAAAATATTTTACAACTAGGAGAAAAAAGACACAGCAAAAAATAGCAAAAAAAAAAATGAGAATGTAGAAAGACTGGGCAGCCAGCAAAGGTGCATGTTAGAAATCACAACTCAGCTTAAAATGGCAATTAGCAGAATACCAAAGGGAAGACCTAAACAGAGTTTTATTTCACGATAAGCTTATGGAAAAAGGGGCATTCATAAAGGCAGGATTGTTGTTACATGGATGCACAAAAGAATTGCATAAACTGCATACTACCATAAAATTTCAGCATTAGTACAATCAATTAAATTATCAAATACTATTCTAAAGTAGAAGGGATAAAGATGATTGATTATAAAGATCATTAGCTGAAATGTCAACATTGTGTGAGGTATGTATAAGCGTTGAAACTATTGTTCAAAACCCACCTAGTATAATTTCACTCTGCAAAACTAAGCTTGTTTGTGATTTTAAAACGTAACATTTTAAATAGGATTTTTTTATAAATAAATGTATTTTAAATTTGAAATGTTTGACAATAAAGTGAAAATAAGGAAATGGTAGGATTAGAGAGTATGTAAGAGCATACCCCCACAGGCGTATCAGTTTTGTCAACAGGATTCACGCTTTTCTTTCCAACAAGGGCATTAATAGCTGTTTTTCCTTCAAGATCTGGATACGAAGCAGCCGAATACCGCCAAAATGGAGCAGATGCACCCATTTTTTCTCTTCTTAATGCAATCTAAGTATAGTTAATTCATCAGATTACAACGGATTGGTAAAATTTGCAGTCTTACAAATAACAGTACAATGAATGAGAAAGTGGACAACATAAAAAAGAGTTATGGAAATTTCTTAGGTGCTCAATTGAGCTTTCGAACCTTTCCAGTTCTAGCTATTTCTTTAATTCCAAACTTGCTAAAACTTCTTTGAACTGCAACCATCTTCCCTGGGTCTCCAGTAACCTGTAACAAACACCACAGAATGATTCACCTGAAATTACTATGTTATAATGTTATTGTATCACCAAATTGCAAATGGTAATAATGATGTCTAGATACTTTTAGAAAGGAAAATATGAAAGTAAAAACGAGTAAATATAGTTGAATAAATCCAACTCATATTAACACATTTTTTATTCCCGGTGTAATTTAACGATAAACAAAATCATATTCATATAAAGAATGAAGGACAAGAAATCAAAAAAGAATATTGTAAAAACAGCCAGTCCAGCAACAATACAGTCACACACCTACCTAAGTATCTTAATGATACAATTTTTATATATGCGATGAAAGGATGACTACATTAACATGTGGTATCTTCCACAGATGAGTCACTCACAAGGCACTGTACCACATTGTAGCAATGCAATTTATTCCTCCAATATGAGTAATTACCTTAACAAACAAACAACGAAGATAAGTTTCTGTATTTATAAAATAGTAAATGGTTTCCCCTTTTCCAAATGTCACTGAATTGATTGGGAAGCCCAAGCCAATGAACAATCATACCCACAAAAATAAAGACCCAGCAGCTACAGTCCAGAACTTTGATGATGGTAACATAATGACTTTGGATCCTATTCATATATACCTAAACTAAATGTGCTATTAGAAGGACACAAACATAGCTAGTTTCAAAGATATTAGGATCTAAAAGAGAAGCCAATCGCAGCTTTTTATATCAACACATAACTAACTGTCATAAACTAATAGAGAAATCAACAATATCAAATATGTCTTGGCAAAAAGACAGGCAAAAGAGGTTGATGAATAGGATAGTTGTTGATCATGGAAGCCGTTACATGAAATGCATACAGAGCAAACCGTTGAGTTAAAATTAGTTTTACAGGTTGCATAATGCATATGGATGGAAAAGACGGACTAAAACCCATCCAAATATGACCAGCAGTTACCTCAGTCGTCACAGAATCTTCTGAGATGTCCACAATCTTAGCTCTGAAGGTGTCCACTAACCACTTAATCTGTGAATTCCCGGCAAAAAAATCAAACAAATAGATAAAGAGAAGCAAACAAAGCCCGCAGCAACCAGAAATAACAAAGCAGGTACCTCAGCACGGTTTTGGGGATCAGCATGCACTTTTAAGAGCATCAATTCACGTTCCACCTGAGGTTCATTGGAAAGATCTTCTACCTAGTTCAAAAATCAGAAAACAAGCATAAACCCTTAGATTACTATTCAACCTACAAAAAAGAATATTGTAACCGCACGCAAGGTGAGAGTGAAACCTTCAAAACATTGACAAGCTTCTGAAGCTGCTCAACAACTTGGCGAAGAACGTTATCAGTTCCAGAAACAACAATGGAGAAAAGAGCCCTATCTTGATTAAGACCAACAGCAAGTGACTCAATGTTGTAACCTCTTCGCGCGAAGACTCCAGCAATTCGGTTAATCATTCCACTCTCATCACCTACGAACACCGAAATCGTGTGTCGCCGAACTCTGCGTTACAATTCATTCATCGAGAGTGCATTATAATCAATAAATCAGAATACTGATCAAATAACGCGGTATTTTAAAAAGTATTGAGTAGAAGACTTGCTTTGATCGGGGAGGGGGAGGGGGAGGGGGAAGACCGTTGGGGGAAACGGTTGTGTCACCGGAAGTGGCGGCGGAGAGGACGAGTTTGTTGCGGCGGGAGGTGGATGATGAAATGGAAGGCGGGAAGGAGAGAGTGGTTGAAGTTTGTTGAAGTGGGAACGGAGAATGGGAGAATTTGAAGATTTGAATTGGAGTTAGTGTGGCCGCCATGGTGATGATGCAGAAGAGAAATAAGTTCAAGTGAGAAAACAGCGGTCACTGCTGTGGCTGCGCTTTCTTCTTCTACTACTAGTTTTTTAAATTTATATTTTATTTTAAATTAAATATTTAAATTGGTCTTTGCTAAAAAATACATACACTTGACACGATTTTGGACGGAAGAAGTATTCGACACGAGTTTGAATTTCGATGTTACAGCAGAAACACTTATTAAAATAAGACAAAATTAATTAATTACTACGGTATAAATGCTTATATATTCCGTTTAATCAAACAAAATAAGATATTTTTACTAAATAATAGTATAATTTTTTTTACAATTTCATGGGATCTTATTAAATTTCTAAAATAATATTTACATGTTAATTTTTTACAGATTAATTTTAGATTTTTTTTTTTGAAATAACTAAGTATTAAAAAAAAATCGCAAATAATCATATTTTGAAGAAAATGACGCAAATAATCATGTTTCAAAAAATCCCACAAGAGAGGAGTCGACCCGGTTGACGCATGCACCTATCATTTTACCTTAGGAGTCATCTCACTTCGTGTATGCTCTCTCATTTAACCAAGTGAGATGGCACATACACTTTAAAAGTGAATGGCATAGAGGCGCCATCTCACTTGACTCCTAGGGTAAAATGTATTTTTTATAAATAATTCATTTGTTTCTTCGTCATTCTTCACACTCCAAGATTCCCAATACCAAACACTCCAAGATCTCTTTCATTTCTAACACGTACTCAGACAAAGCGGATCTTCTAGATATGGAGATTTGACCGATTTCATAGATCTGAAACGCATTGACTTCGCTGGACCATCGACCCTATCACAACAGGAAACGCGACGAAACCCAGCACGGGAAAGGCGAGGACGGGGATGCGGAACCGGAGGTCATTACCGAGTTCCGGGAACCATTGATTAATCTGTATTTTTTATGTAATCGTTATGTGTGTAATCATATTGTATAAATAAAAAATCAATTTTCTTGATCTTATATCGTTTACCTAACGTACCGCATTTAAAATAAAAAACGCAAAAAATTACATGCCATTTGTACTAAGGCGTCATGTCACTTGGTTTAGGGCAAGCCTTTTACACATAGGCGCCAAGTGAGATGGCGCATTTCCTTTAAAATAAGGTGCATGCGCCAACTGGATTGGCTCCTCCCTTATGGAGTTTTTAAAAACATGGTTATTTGCGTAATTTTCTCTGAAATATGATTATTTAATATAAAAAATTTAATACTTAATTATTCCAAAAAAAAAAAATCTAATTTTACTCGTCCTATTTTTTTCCAATAGACTAAAGAGATGTTTATATATTTAATATATAAAAGTATATAAAGATTGAGATAATCTAAATATATGTCAAATTAACTTTAATAGGAAACTTTTATAAATATTATTTTAGTTTATATTTTGACCAATGTTTGATAACAAAATAATACCATTAGCAAATTTGGAAGATTACTCTAATTTCTTTTTCTAATTTTAATATTTTTAAAGATTAATATTTTAAAAATTAGACCAAAATAAGTTTTATTTTTAAATAAATTTATCTAAATTATGTGAATTAACTCTTGTGCCATATTATAACTAATCATATTACAATCAACTTTTAAACTAACGAATGTTTTGAGAACATTCTTTAAAAATATCAAATAAACAAATATTTTTTATAAAAAAAAATTATTTTAATTTTCAATGCATTGATTATATATATTTTTAAATAATTTTATTATTTTAAGCATTTAAAAAATACCCTAAAAATACTTATTAGTATTTCCCTAAATTTATTTATTAAAAATTATGACAACGTTATATTTTAAGTTCTCTTTTGTTATAAGGTTAAAAAAATAGAAAAATGAACAAAAAGTAAAATTAAATTTTTAAAAATAGTTTATTTAATTATTAGAATATAAATAAAATTGAATAATTATATTATATTTTATAATTTAATAATTCTTTTAAACCAAGAAATTTCATAATAAAAAAAAATTAAAAAAGGAAAGGACTAGCCAAGGCCCCATCAATGAGAATAAAATCTAAAACTAAGAATGCTCTTCCTTTTTAAGCAATAAACTCTATCATAAGGGCAAATGCATGTTATCCTGGACAAAAAATTGACATAAATATGGTTTGATATCATTCCTCATTATATTGTTTCTATCTACAATCACATCAACATTCACAACAATTAACTGTAAATATTTTTTATTTGATTTTATAAAAATATATATAGTCAAAGAGAATCAAATCATATTAAATCATTCTATATTAACATTACTTCTACTGCACTATACTCAATTTCAGGTTTTTTTTTCTTCTTAAATACAGTTTTAGTCTCTTTATATTAATTTTTCTAACTTTTTAATCATTTTAAAAAAAAATCAGTTTATTTAATCCTCTTTATCATATTTTGTGTTTTTTTTTAGTTCTCTTTCACATGACAGTTCAAATTGTGACATGACACGTTGAAATCACCTTTTTTATTAGGTTTTTTTACTTCGTCATTAAATGCGATCTAAAAAAATTTAAATTAAATTATTATGATTTTAAAATTGTATATTTTTTTTGAAAAAATAAATAAATAATTTTTATTATAATCTTCATCATTTATCATTCAACTCAATCTCCTTCGATACATACTTTCATCTAAACCCAAAAATTCAATTACCCTAAACCAAACAAAATCTAATATTTGTCAACGTAGGAGCTTTTAATGATCCAAAGCCAAGTCGAGGGTTTGGTTTTCGGCTCTTGACGGTTTTGGTTTTTTTGATGATTTTTTCATGATTCGTTTCATGTTGAGGATGATTCGTTTCTGCAATAAATTCAATTGTTAACCAATTTCAATTTTAAGTATTGTTTTGTTTAATTTTTATTACAGATCTAACTAGAAAGATTCATGGGTTTGTGTGTTCAGATAAGTGAGGGATGATGAATATAAAATTGAAAAAGAAATAATTGAGATTTTTGAATAAATAATACTTTTTTCTTTTTTTAATAAAAACAATTGAAAAGTATTTAATTAGTGGTTAATATATTTTCATTAATAATTAAATTATTTTAATTATTAATAAAATATTTTAAATTTTAATGACATGGCAACACTAAACATTTGTCAAGTCATAAATTGAGATGTCATGTCTCCAAATGAGTTTGTCATGCAAAGGGGGGACTACCAAAAAAATACAAAATATTATAAAGGGGATCAGATAGTTGGTTTTTTTAAAGGGGACTTCAAAGTTAGAAAAATTAATATAGGAGGAATAAAATTGCATTTAAGCTTTTTTTTTTCTATAAAAAAACAATATTATATTCCAAAGAAGATTGATACACAAAAAGGTGGAGGGACTATGTCAAAACTCACTCAAAAGTATTTAAATTAAAAAAAAGGCAAATCAAGCATATTTTTTACATAATCACCTTTAATTCCAATAGGAAGAGAATCAAAAAGAGCGAAGGAAATAGATATGCTGCCTAAATTTGTAAAAAAAAATCTGCACAGTTATTGTCTTCCCTATAAATGTGAGAAATAAGAAAGTTCATATATAAAACTATTCTAATGCAGTTTAACCATTTATTTCTAATTTTCCAAGGAACTTTATTAAGCTTGGAAGCAGAAAAAACATTAACAACCATAGTGGAATTCGATTTCACCCAAAGGTTATTTCAACCTCTCTATTTAGCCAATTCAATCATACTCATAACACCATAAAACTCAGCAAAATTGGAGGAATTCCAAGGGAGGGGTTCAACAAAAGCTACCACAAACTCACTTGTGTTAGAGCGAAAGATTCAACCACAACCTGACATACACTTCACTCCATTCAAGCTTTTTCAATTGCTCACATTAGATAAATTTATTCTCACTTCATTTTCTTGAGATGTGAGTTAGTTTGAGCTACATTAGAATGTAATTACAATCGTAATATGTAGTTTATTGAAATGTGCATTCACATTTTTGAAGATTAGGGCTTGTGGGTTTCTGCCATTTTTCGCTTTTTTGGTTTTACGAAAATGCATCTCCGATTTTTTTTCCAGTTTTTGAATTTCCCAAATTACAGAGATGCATTTTCGTAAGTTCTTTGCACTCATAAAACTATTTGATTTAACATGTCTGTCATATGGGTTTAATTTGTTTTACTATGATATGATTTTCTAGGTTTCTTATTGTTATAATGGCTGAAAACCAGGACAAATTGAGACATTATCGAGTGGCCTAACATGCATCAGTTCATAGGGGAATGGTAATGCTCTATTGACCATCACTTGGTGTGACTTCATTTGATCCAGAAGCATCGACTTCCCGAGCTCACGTGTGTTCATCGTCATCTTCTCGGAGGCACGTTTCCCCTTCTACCTTTGCATCCCCTGAAGTCCAATAGGAGGAACCTACTGCTGATGCTGTCACTCCTTATAGTTTTCCAACAGGTCCATATGACATTTATCTACTTCCTCTCTATGTAGACCATGTTGTTAGGCATGTGTGAAAATGAGATATAGTATAAATATTTAATTACTTTTGTATTACATATGTTTTATACTAATTGAATCGACTGATATTGTTGTATTTCTTTTTATAGTTATGTGATACATGGTTTGTTACATTCAGCTACATACATGGGTTGTTCCACTGGGATACATCCAATGCTTCTATAGTGTGTCACATCTTCACATGATACAAGATGTTGCGAGAGCACCACCTAGCCCGACTCATTAGGAGATATTGAAAGAAGAGCAGGGCAGGGATGACCATTCTCATGACGTGTTGTCAGCCTGTCAGTATATTGTGACGCTTGCGAGAGATGCCCTAGATAGAGGAGATTTTGAGGAAGTCAGTTTTTATATGGACATCGCACATGCCATCTTAGCTGAGACACGAAATCTCTTGCAGTACATGAAGCAGAAGAGAAACTGTGGGGGATAGATATCTACACAATAGTTAATTTTATTTGTATTTTATAACATTTGTATTATTTTTAT